CCTTTTATTCTACAGGACCTTTCCCCAAAAAACTAGCTAAGGTCGTCAGCCTTAGCTAGTTTTTAGATAGTTCACTTTTACATTTGCCTAACATTGGATCTACTCCTTTCTTGCTGTGTTCTTCTTGGCCAAGCCGAGAGTATCCGGCCCTGAAGTCCGAACCTCCGGACCTTCGTAACTTTTGTGCGTCTAACCCCTACGACCGTCACAAAAGACGGTTAAACGCAACAAGACTGTCGAGATTGGGTTTCGTTCCTGCGGAATTTGGCCTATGTCTTTGCTCATTATGCTGCGCCGACTGGAAGCAGCGAAATCGAACAATGTCAAGGACGGCCATGGCGACGATTCGTGGTTGAAGGCCAAAGAGTTCGGGAGAGATGAAGTTCTGACCTTGCCGCAGAAGAAGAAAGTTGGACGGAAGAGAGTTGCAAAGGAACTCAACTGGCACACTTGTGAAACTGAGCATTTCATGCTTCGTCTGTCTGAGCAACCAAGCGAACGAATTGACATATTGTTTTGCAACCAACCATTATAATTGCGATAATTTAATGACATTTTGAACACTTTGGGTATTTTACTGTTAATACAGAGCTCGATTTTTGAATGTAGTATTTTAAAATTATTTTACCTCTGTACAAAACAGAAGTGAATGCCCATCAACGCCAATGCCGTCCTTAATCGCCTCCAAGACCAGACCATTCGTGATCGGTCGTATCTCGAGGCTTCCTTCACCACCCATGGGGATAATATGAGCGTCTAATGAAAGCGATGAGGCCGCTGCGCACCCTATCATCGACAAGTTCATAACTGGTCTCGGTTCAGAGGGAATCCGCACGGTGACGAACTTCACTGTCACTGACTTTGAGACTCTTTGGTCCTTTGTGGACACTGCCATGCAATCAGCTTGGATGGAAGGGCGCAACCGTCGATCTCCAACGAGCCCGAAGGACGCCATGTTCAAGGCGCTGACCGTCCTCAAGCACTTCTCGTCATGGGAAAAGCACGCTGCGGACTATGGCTTCGAGGCACCAACGTTTGAGAAGCTGATCATGCGCGTGCTCTCGGAAATGAGTATCTATGTTGTGTGCAATCTCTAAAAGACAACACTGTAGGTGATTGAACCCATCTTCTACGGGCGTTTCATCACTCCAGTGACGATGGCGGAGCTCACCCAGTCAGGTTAGCGCTTTGCCCACTTTCTATACGCTCTCTATGCTGTCGACGTCAAGTTTCAACCTTCGAACCTTCCTGCCGGTCGCTTTGCCGAACAGAAGCACTACTTTAGTGGAAAACATCACTTGTACGGCTACAAGATCGAAACCGCTGTGTCGCCAGATGGCCGATGTGTTGCCATGTCTACTGCCGACGCTGGATCTGTGCACGACCTTACCATTATGAACTCTCGCCACCATGTGCACCTTTCCAACTTAGCCAAGTCGGCCTCCTAGTCCCTTCTGCCGGACCATGGAGAGCAGGATGCCCAGCATCGTGGCTCGTGGGCTTGCCTTGTTGACATGGGCTACAATGGAATCAGCAACTCATTGCGTAGCATCCACCCGAAGCGTCGTCCCGCCCATGGATCTCTTGATGCCAGCGACTTGGAACGATATGCAAACGTCTCCTCGGATCGGGTGATCGTGGAAAACTTCTTCATCCCAGTGTGCTCCCTCTGGCGCGTGTCCTGCGCCACGTAAACGTGGTCCGAGCGAAACTACTCTGCGATTGTACCTGCCAGAGAGTATCTATGATAGATATTCGGGTTTGGTTCAGATAATTGAATTAGTGTTGCACTGACTGTGAGAAAATCCCGTTAACAGATAATTCACACCTTTGACCCTCACTGTTCCGAGGTACTACTCCGTGCTTTATTACTACCTCCGATTGGAAAAAATTGATGGATTTACCGGTTACGTACAAATATTATTATATTATACAGGTATTCATATTTGCCTCCTAGACATCACGGATTCTGCCAGCACGGTGACAGGATTCGCCGTTGTGAAGAGTCCTCGTGGTGACCATACCAACCTCTTGGCCTCACCCCATCCCTTGAACAATGCCAATGTGCTCTCAAAAGCCATCTTTGGTTGGGCCAACGCTCTTCTTCGGAACAGCAACCAACGCCAACTCGGCCCTGACGACATGTGGCCTCTCCAGGACTCCAACAAGGCCGTCACCACCCTCCAACTACATCTTAGTAGAGGTATAGTTGTTTGTACAGTGTACCTGTTAGAGAGTATCTATGATGGACATTTGCGTTTGGTTAAGATAATTCACACATTTGAATTGTCCCACAAAGGCATATATTTTTTACTTTTCAGTTTTTGACAGAATATATGATCTTGATTAAAGCATGCTGGATTATGTTGACCTCTATTTTCATCAAACTATGCAAGATTATGATTAAGCCCGGGCCTGGATGCCACAAAAATGGCACAAAATGGCCGTTTTTCGAAGAAAAGTTTCCAAAATCGAAATATTCCATTTTTCGAGATTTTGTGCGCCTGGATGCCATCAAGGTTTAAAACTTTATGTCACATTTATCTTGAGAATCGGGTGTTTTATGGCATAAAATGTGGACCGATTTGGTCCAACTTTTTTATGGAGGTATGTGTTCACGTTGAAGTTTTGCACTTCACAGTCAATCGGAAATGAAATATTTCTTCCAAATTTCAGCTGGTATCCAGACAACTTTGTAGAAACTAGAATTGTGAATTCGCTATAAACTTCCGAAATTCGCGTGGTTTGTCGAATCAATATTGAATCAAGCCGGAGTTCTGATTGGTTGAATATACTTATCCTTTCTGCAAGAGCCAATCAAATCCACTCAAAAATGGATTAGCCAATAGCGTCGATTCGTAATTCGATTCGGCGGCGAGATTCGATTCGACGGGGTCTGGAAATATCCTGTAGTAAAAATTAACTAACTTTATACATATATTAATTAATAGTAGTACACACTAGCGAACCTTACAGTTTGTCAAAACCGATCAGGAATGATGCTCAATTTTCACTGTTGTTTCGTAAATATCTATGCACCGATACTACTAGTACGTAGTATCTGATTTCTACAGGACTTATCCGGTTATAAAGGTTTAGGTGGAGATTCTAGTACTACGTAGTACAGCAAAATTGCTTCCGGCAAATGATGTTGAGGTGGCTGGCTATTGGCAAGCTGGATGAGACTTCTCACATTGTAGCATTTGTTGTCACCTGCTGTTATTGTTGCATTCTCTCCCATCAAGGATACGTACAGTGCATTGCAGAGAACTCGGTCAGGGCAACTCTGCATGTGTATTTGAATATTTGTATGCATAGTGGCATATCATGCCAACCAATTTAGATAGAATCATGGAATTAATCAGTCTCAAGGACAATTTCTTGCCAATAAGGATTACGAATTGGCTTCACAGTTGGAGATATTGTTGGAGATAAGGAAAGTCCTTATTCTACTACTGTAATGCGTGACATGATGGTACAATGACTGTCATTCCTGCAGAATGCACTTCATTTGACCACACGATGGCAGAGCTTTACAGTTAGGAAAAGCTTGTGATGACCACCCATTACACTTGTCAACAAGCATGCATTTACAGATTGCAACCCATCGAATGTATGTCTTGTTGACAGAATTGTACTTTACTATTACTACCTCTGTCCGAGTTAGCTTCAAGTCCTGCAGCTTCCAAGGCAGCCGTGACATCGGAGTCCAGTGTCATGCTCTTAAGGTACGTCGACAGTTCGTCAGCCGTCCGAAGCTCATCCAACTCTGTCTCCATAGCACGTTCATACGCGACCGCGTCGATAGCGCTCAACTTGGCCGTGCCGTCGCGGTAGTCTTCCGTCGGGCAAATGAGGTTGCGAGGTAAGATGCCCAATCTTGCTTGTCGCTGCTTTCGCAAGTGCGGAATCTTGTACGTGTTGTCGCCGGCCACTCTGATTGTCTCCAGTAGACAAGATTGCAGCGTCATGAAGGTATGATCGAGCCGCTCGAACGGATAGTCCTTGAATGCTTTCGCCACATTGGCCACCAAGTCATCGATGGTGCGCGCGGACTCACGATGTTGTAGGGACTGCAGTGCCGCGAAGAAGCCCAAGTCCAAGACGTTGAGGTCAGGCGAGTTTGCCGGCTGTGGGGCAAGTTGAAACGACCACCCTTGTACCGCATATTGACGGAAACTCTCCTGTAGCTTGGCGTCGGACGTGGTTACGTGTGCCCGGGCGTTGTCATGCTGAAGCATGATGGTTCGTCCACGACTGGGCCATTTTTGGACCAACGCTGCCAGCACTTTCCCCAGCAGGTACGCACGGTAGACATCCTTTGTGACGCTGATGACCTTGGTTTCAATCGTGCCAGCTTCTCGGTTGACGCTTGAGCGGAGAGCCGCGGCTTGCTTGACGAAGGGCCACGTTCCGATTTTGCCGTCCCACCAAACACCGGTGTCCTCGTTGAGCCGAGGCCGTGCCACCGCCGTCAAGAACATAACCTTCGTAATGAATCGCTTGCTCTTGCACTTGCGCTCCGGTGGCTTCTCGCCTGGGACGAGATAGAACTTGCGATTTACTAAGGTCAAATAGAACCATTTTTCGTCGAGGTGAACGTAGTCCAGCATTTCGCACATATCTTGTCCGGGCGCCATAAAATTGAGCTCAAATTTCAGTCGGCAGTATTTGTTGACGTCGGTAAGCATAGGACGGATAGCATTTGAGTGCGCACGGAACACACCACGCTTGAGATACCGATGCAATGTGCCGTAACTGATTCCTACGATACGAGTTTAGATTGGGGGTGACGGAACATCTTTTGTAACCGGTTTTGGCGGAGATGGATCGCAATGATGTACGCTCTCGCAGTGGATGGAACCTGCAAGAGCTTTTCTCGCGCCTGGGAAGCCGTGTACTTTATCTTCCGGCCAACGCGAACTTTCTTTCGGTTAGCTACACACACTTGCATGTTTCCAGACGCTATGCCCTGTGCCTTTGCTCGAGCTATGCTGCGACGAACGGACGACACGTGGCAACCATACTTTGTCGCAAGGTCGTTGCCGAAGCCTCTCGGTAATCGGCCAACCACACCGTCTTGACACTTGAGCAAGACTTCACGCAGGATGGCCTCACGCACCATATTGATCAGGTCAAGCCTGCCCTGTGTCATTCTGAAGTGAGCTGTCAAAATTCCCACCATGTAAGAGTGTTTGTATATTTGAAAGCTGGTTTTATATTGGAATTTGTATTAAATCTTCTGACCTCCATAACAAGGCTTGGAAACATCAAATTTCAACCCTGAAAATCCCTAAACTGCTGTCCGTTTCGCGCTCTTTTCGACAGACCATTTGCAGCGCAGAAATTCAATTCGACGATGGACGAAAACCGTGCCTCAAGTCTCATACAAATTTAATGATGTGTCATGTAAACCCTCCTCACAGTCGCGCAACTGTTTTGGATCGGAGGGAGTAAGAGTGAAGCAGCTGCAGACCTCCGACCCCTTTGGCCCACGCCAAGGAGCATAAACTCCGGCCTCTCCGCACGTGACCAGTCCCGTCATGTACGGAGGACGCACCAACCGTGACATGTCAGACAACGGGGGGTGACGGCATCCCGGTGGTTACTCGATCCATCCGGTCTCTTCCCCGGTATGTCGTACGGAAGTACCAATTGGTAGGGACCCGCTAAGAGGGGTGTCCGACGAGTTTAGTCCCGGACATAAGACGGTGTAAAAATAGGTGGTTACCATCACTGAGTCTAACCGCCAGCCTCTTGCTGTACTATGGGCACCTGATTCCGGTGACAGTGCGTGGAGTTGTTGGGAAGCAGTCAGAACACCCTGTTCTGTCATGAACATCACCACTGCCCTGAAGCCTCAGGTAGCAGCATTGGCTGCAGCTAGTAGGATGTTTTTGTGCCTTTTAGAGGTTTTTTCTCAGATAGTAGATAGCCAGCCATATCCACGGTACATCATTAGGATGCTGTGTCCTGATTGGCTAGCCATTAGCTAGTCCGTCTAGCCTTTAGAGCCAGTTGTTCTCATTGGTAGCTAAGCTAATTCACTTTCCGTTTCACCCGCAACCACCCAGTGTTCCCCCTGGCTTTTGCACCTTTCCACTCAAACTACCTCGACGAGGTCGTATGGGCGACTTTACCCAAACACGATGAACTTGACATGTGAAAAAAACCGCTGGCCCAAAATTCACTCCGAACTTACCCTTTTACAGTACTACATACTGTAGTAGGGGCTGTTCGGGTGAAAAACTTAGACGAAACAACCAGAACTGAACGCGATTTCATTGGTGGATCGAGAAGTTAGAAACCGAGACGCAACCGGAATCCGGATGTGTCGTGGTTGAATTTCGTCTGGGTTTTGCGATATCGAACAGAGACTCCCCTTTGTTGGGCAGCATGGGCCAACCACGACGCATGCGGATTCCGGATACAAGGCACTCGCAATTGAATTCACGGGATGAGTCGAAAAGCGAGTCAACGCGGAGATGAACCTGTGGTGGACCACCTTGGGACCCCAGAAAGTAGAGCACAACAGCCACCTTTATTTCGTATGAGTGGGATTTGGTGTAATTGTCGAGACTGCATTGCGCCATTTCCACCCGCAGTACTCACATAGCTCGACAAAGGACTCTTGATTACAACGTAAATTGTCCATAAATCATCGGTAGTACACTGGATCGACTAAGAATGCTTGGAAATCAATATCTGCCACGGTCAGCAAATTGTACTTCTGCGTGCGGGTCACAGATGACATGGCCATGCACACAGCTGCCGCAGCAATGCTTCCAGCCAAAGCAGCATAAACATCTCGACGGCCACATGTACCCCCATCAGAACGGCTGCCACACACAACAGTGCCACACTGTAAACAGCCACACACACCACCCGGAGGACAGCCACACAGGCCACCAAGAGGACATCCACACACGCCACTCAGAGAACAGCCATACACCACCAGAAGGACAGCCACACATCACCCCGAGGACAGGTACGAGCTCGACTGTTGCCACAATGTTGGTAGCCACACAGCACACGGAATGCAGCCACACGCACCGTTGCCACCGCCAACTGGACAGCCACACGCACCACCACTAACCATGACAAAAGCACGAATAAACCAGAACTCTTCCCTGGACACGAAATGGTCAACCGTACAATGACACCGCAAAAAAAATCCGGTTATGATTTCGTCCTGGTTGAATTTTTTGTCTCGGTATTTTCCCCGAACAGGCTCTTACAAGTACAATTGAACGTCCTTCTGCACGTGAGATGATACATGGTGCACCCACTGGTCTAATTGGGCACTCAAGTCACAATGCCGTCGCAGTTTGGCCTTGAGGGCCTCGTTCTGTTCCAGCACTGCTTGCAGAGTCCTTCTGGTCGTTGACACATTTCCGCCCCGAAGCCGATGGAGCGACGCGACATGTTGGTTGGTTTTCAAGCGTCGCAGGACGTCCGTCAGGTCCCGCGCATGGGCATGAAGCGCGTCGACTTCTTCGAGCTCGCGCTGTCGGTAGAGGCGTTGGCGGAGGCGGTTGTACATTCGTTTGCGGGACTTTGGTGGCAACTGGCTTAAGTCCTCGTCGATGGCGGGCTTGGCTGAGGGGGGATGTGCCAGCGACTTAGACGACTTGAGGATGGGCATGTTTGTTGGAAGTTGAACATGTCGGCAACTCGCCGAGTCGTCGTGGGCTTGAGGAGTGTGGGTCTGCAGCCATGGCGTGTCGCGTTGCGATTCATGCTGTAGCCACGAAGCCCATTGTGCTACGTCATGTATGAAGGCCGCGTACTGTGCCGACCGGTTCGTCAGTGCTTGTTGGTGCAACATCGAGTCCATGACTCGACCCTTCGACTGCGAGGATGGGGTACAGCTAACCGACTTGAGCTGTTGTCGGAGCTGCAGCCTCGTTGCCTCGAGCTGGTCGATGTGGGCTCGCAACGAGTGACGCTGGTGGAGCTCATGGCGTCGGAGGCGTTGCTGGCGTTCACGGTTGTATCTTCGCTTGGTCGACGACGCCAATGTCTTGGACGTTTCAGGTTCGTGTTTGACTTCCTTTGCACATGTGTCGTCGGGCGGTGCCGAGCTGGTTTTGTGTTTGCAAAGACCCTGCTGGACTGTTGTTGTTTGTTTGTCGGGGGAACAACAGCACATTACCATCGGGTTTTTCGTTTCGTCGATTGGGGATGCGACGATATCGCTTAGAATGAACCGCAGCTTCTTGGACAAAGGAGGTAGAACTAGCCGCCTGGAAGCACGAGTGGGTTGGGCGTTGTCGTCGTACGGGGCTGCATCATCATTATCAATGTGGTGATGCGCCCGCCAGCGGAGCCCATCGTGTTCTATTTTGGGCCAAGGATCTCGGTAGGTGGTATCGTCATCGTCAGGCGCTGCCAGAATGAAACTAAGTCGTGCCTTGCAGTTTCCCGTCGGCATGTATAGTATAGTAGTATTGTGTGTTCCTTCAACAATTGCACAGTGCCAGACAAGTCACTCATCAGAATTTTCATTACTTACTGTTAACCTTTAATTTGGACTTTACGAGTACGTTTCCTCGATACAACACGTTCAAGTGCTTCTTTACAGTGGATCCGTGGATTTGTCATGATGTACATACGAACATTTTTGACAAAGTGTGACAGCTGTTTCCGAGTAGTCAGTCAAATTACGCCTTCCACCTCGATCTCGACGACCAAGAAGCGAGGGCGTTTCTACATACACTTGGCCGACCACTACGAACGACCCTTGATCCTTCATGCGCAGTGCTGAAGCTGTACATATTGGGTGACTCCATGCAATGATAGTAAGTAACTGTATTTATTGAGCGAGGCTGAGTGACATAATGCTCAGAAAGTCGAGCAGTACTGTACCACTTGCATCGGATTGTTTCTAAACTCCCACTGTCGTACCGTCTAGTAATTCGAGTCGGACGGCGATGTGCCGTATCCGAATCCGTATAAACAGTCCTGAGACACTTCAGTCTTGTTTCGCTCCGGACATACCGATACCGTACTGAAGTACTGTATAAGACTAGTGTTTACAGGCAGTACTTAATGGATACAGTACTTGTGTTCACCCTCAAATATATTAAGTATATACAGTAAAACTACCAATCGATGCCGGTACAGGTTAACAATATTCAAAGAATTTGTATTCCTGCTATATTAATATTGCGATGTATACAAACATAAAGATGATACATACACAAAGGTACGGTGAATGATCCAATGAAAATTGCATCCTACAGTTATCATCGAGATATGGAATGAATGATTCTTCAATCGCGCGACTATTTGTCAGGACGCCGAGACTTCATACCCACACGTTCTCTACTGATTGCTATGTATGCTTGTAGTTTTATGTATTCGATCCTGTATGAAGAAATGCAAGAAGTGAACTTACTAGGACTGACTTGGTAAGATATCGCATCGAAATCCCGGACGACATCGATATCGCGAACAGTCCTATTTTGGCAAATTGGTGACCGCCATGGAAGGCCGACCAAATCTATTGGCTATGATAATATTCACACCTTGATGGCTGGAATGAATTTTCACACCTCAATCATATTCAAGTCAACATTTTTGACGCAGAGGAAGGCGCAGTAGTTGGTAAATTGAGAAGTGAATTGATAGCGTTATAGCAATCTAACGCTACGGCTAAGCTAAGCAGGACCAGCCATCTTGGGCTGGTAAAGATAAAGGGCCGTGGGTGATCCGAAGCAAAGGGGCGGCGACCCTTTGCTGTTTCCTTGGCACGTAGTGGTGTCGTCGGGTGCTCGTGGGTTTGGGTCAGACTTTGCCTTCAACCTGTGTGGCGTGGCACAGCTACGTGGATCCGATATTTTAACCAGAACTGTGACACCCTCCCACACTCAAGCGAGAGTTTGGGAAAATGCGAATCAACTGGCGCGTATTTGATGGCTGTTGGTCGTTGGCAACTGGCGATCATCAACTTCACCCATCATGGGTAGTATTCTTGAATTTGACAGCATGAGGATGAGGACCAATGGAAGAAGGCCAAAGAAGTCGTGAACTTAACGGGTGATGGCTCAAACAGCGATGAGTACTTCTTCCCGGGGAGCCAACGGCTCCGGAGGGCAGTGAAGGTCCGCTGCTTGATCTGTTCATGAAGAATGAAGAGCATCGGATCAATGC